GGTGCATTTCAACGGCACTTTGGTTGCAAAGGATTGTGAAGTGGGGTCCTGGGTTTGCTTCAGATGTGTGTGTGTGTGTGTGTGTGTGTGTGTGTGTGTGTGTGTGTTTGAAAGCAGGATTCATCCATATAGCGCAAGGGATTTTTTTTTAATGTATAACAAAGTGGAATCGTTGTTCTTGTCTCTATAGCCTGATAGTTAAATTCTAGCTAGAATTAGATGGCATTTACTCTTTATAGAGGACTTCTTTCATTCAATATTGAATCTATGAGATTTGTCAAAAATTTTGCATGTGGTTATAAGTTAGTTGTTTTCATTGATGCATAGCATTCCTCTGTGACTTGTTATTTACATTAGTTTGCTATTTACACAGCTCTTAACTCCACATCTGATCCACTATGTGGATGGGAAAAGGAGTACTTACATGTGCAAGTGTGTCTGTAAAGATTTGGCTAGTTTTTCTGATTCCCTTCTAGAATAGTGGTTCTCAACCTGGGGGTTGGACAACCCTTTCACAGGGGTCTCCTAAGACTATCAGAAAGCAGATACTTACCTTATGATTAATAACAGAAGCAGAATTACAGTTACGAAATGGCAACAAAAATAACTTTATAGTTGGGGGTCGCCACAGCATGAGGGACTGTATTAAGGGGTCACAGCATTCGGAAGGTGGAAAAACCGTTGCTCTAGGATCAACCTGAGACGGAAAAGCCAAGGGCCTGTCTGCCCCTCACACCTGTGTTACAGAAAAGAAGACACAGTGCAGAGAAGAGGCATGCTCAGGGTCACTTAGACAGCAAGCAAGTTGGCAGCCCATCAGCAATGAGTAGAAGCCTTTTGGGAATTGGAAGCACACCCACCTCTTCCTTTAGAAGGAATAAGGCAAGATAGGCTAGGCCAATAATCTAGGTCAGGTGGGTTTTGTTTGTCTGCTTGCTTTTTTTTCCTTTTAATAAAAGATTTGTCTTTATTTTGCCCATATGTATGCCTATGCACCACATGTATTCGTGGTGCCTTTGTGAGCTTTCTTTTTTATTTTTTTACAGATTTATTTATTATGTATACAGTGTTCTGCCTGCATGTATGCCTGCAGGCCAGAAGAGGACGCCAGATCTCATTACAGATGGTTGTGAGCCACCATGTGGTTGCTGGGAATTGAACTCAGGACCTCTGGAAGAACAGCCAGTGCTCTTAACCTTTGGGCCATCTCTCTAGCCCCTCCTGGTGCCTTTGAAGGCAGGCCAGAAAAGGGCGTCTGATCTCCGGGGTTACAGATGGTTGTGAGCTGACATAGAGGTGCCAAGAACTGAACCCACATCCTCCTGGAGAACAACCAGTGCCCTTAACCACTGAGCCATCTCTCCAGTCTGCTCTTTATCCCATCCTGACTTATGATTTGTTAGATAGCCAACGATGATGATCTTGAACTTCTGGTCCCCCTGCCTCCACTCCCTGAGTGCTAAGATTACAGGAGTGTGCCAGCACACTGGCTTTATGGGATGCTGTGCTTGAATCCAGAGCTTCGTGCATGCTGGAGCGAGCACAATACCAACTGAGCTATAGCCCCAGCCCCAAAGCAGTTTTAAAATGTATTGAAATTAGTTGAGCACAGTGATAACACATGTGTAGTTGAGCACTCAGGTTAAGGGAGGCGAATCACAAGCTGGAAGCCGGCTTGGAAAGCAGTGGGACTTCATCTCAAAACAAAGCAAAACTTCAGTGGTTGCTACTGCTGTTTGTCCCAAATACTGTCCAAATAAAGTAGATGAGAGGAGTGTTTCAGGACGAAGCCTTGACGTGGCCTAGCTTAGGCAGCCTTTTAGGCATTGCCTTAGGACCCTGAGGGTTCATAGGTATCTGGTCTGTGGGCCCCTGAGCTTGGGAGGTGTGAGTCTCCTTCAATGACACCAAGGCCTCGCTCCCCTGGCTTTGTTGGCTGGCACCCCAAGGATCTTAATTCCAGCAAGAGGCATGGTTCCCTCTCTAGGAGAAATGGGGGACCTTTCCTGCAGGGCTGTGACAAGTTCTGTAAAGAGAGGAAAGAGACAGCAAACAAGCCAGATGTAAAGTGTGGTAAGTGGAGAGAGGAGAGGAAGATGCGGGGCAAGAGGCAGCCGTCTTACAAGTGAGGATTGCAGAGGGAGGACAGATGGAGTGACTCGGCCCCGGGCAGCCAGAGGCGATGCTCAGTCTTCCCTCGGAACAGATGGGAGGGAGTGCATGCAAGGGGATTGGTAACTGAGGGTGTCTGCGGGATTCCCCACTGTGTTCACACAGCAGAAGGGAGGTGGGAAACGGGGCTTGCTAGGAGACTGGTCTGAGACAGCTGCTGGGAAGGGGACTGCTAACTAGAAACACACAGATTTTTCTCACATCACTAAAGGGCTCACTTGAGATTAGAGATCACCCAATCATGTCCCATGGATGATTGTTTTTTTTTTCTCAAGATACATAAAATAGCCCCACAGTACTACAGAGCAGAAGGGCAGTGGGATGGGATTTTGTGGGTGAGTTCGATAGGATGACGGGGACAAACATTTGAGTATATTTGTATGGAATGAAGAAGGACCCAGTTTAGATGAGGGAGAGGAAAAAAGGAGGAAGGTAAGAGGGCAAAGGGGGAGGGGAATCGAACCTTAACAGTCAAAGGATTATTCATTACTACGCAACCCAGTGGCCTCACTCCTTTACTCAGGAGAAATGTAAGCATCTGGCTGCAGAAAGATCACATGGAAGTGTTTGAGCATGCTCTGCTAATGACTGCTAAAGGCCGAAGACAGTTCAAAGTTAGCACCGGTGGATAGCCTTTCTTTTTTCAAAGTTGGCTGATTGATTGATTGATTGATTGATTGATTGATGATTGATTGGTTGATGGTGCATGTGGTCAGAGGGCAACTTAGAGAGTCAGCTCTCTCCTTCAACCATGTCAGTTTCAGTGAAGGAACTTAGGTCCTCCATGTTGGTGGCAAGCCATCTCAATAGCCTCCATGTTTGACTTTTCATCACTGTTGACAAAATACTAGGAAAAAAAACAAATACAAGAACAAAAAACATTTAAGGGAGGTGGTCATGGTTTCAGACGTTTTAGGCCGTGGTCAACTGGGTCTGTTGCTTTAGGCCAACTAGTCCCTATCTTCCGGTAATGCCACTTAATCCATTGATGAGGCCAGAGTCCTTAGGATGCAAACACTTCCCAAGAGTGCCACCCAGTGGGGATTTAGCCTTTAACACACGGAATCCTTGGAGGATACTTCACTCCCAAACCTGAACTGGTGAGCAGGTAAACTCTCCTGTCCACAGGAGAGACCACTCAGCAGTAAAAATGAATATAAACTGCTGATGAGCGCAAACGCGGCCACACCCCCAAAAGGCAGCATATAAGGTGACAGAAGCCAGACACAAAAAGGTACACCCAGTACGATTCCATTTGTAAAAAAGACAGACGTAAGCCGGGCGGTGGTGGCGTACGCCTTTAATCCCAGCACTCGGGAGGCAGAGGCAGGCGGATCTCTGTGAGTTCGAGGCTGGGCTGGACCGATAGCCTCCAAAACAATACAGAGAAACCCTGTCTCGAAAAACCAAAAAAAAAAAAAAAAAAAAAAAGAAAAAAAAAAAAAAAAAGACAGACGTAGAGGCAGAAATCAGAGTGTGGTTGGCAGGGACAAAGAATGCTGTGGTCCTTGTATAACGGGCGGCTTTTAAAGCTTGGCTATGGTCGTGGATGTGTGATAATATTATAGGCTACCTGCGTGCATTTGTCAAGTAGAAACATTAGATA